AGAGAGAGAGAGTTGGCGCGCGAGAATCAGGGTATTTTCAAGCATATCTAAGTCGATTTCGTCGCCACAGTTCGCGGTTGAAATCGTATTAGAGAAAGGATGGGGTTTGACGCGATGGGACACGAGGTTGTCTCACAGTTCGTAAATTCGACGGTGAGTGAGTGACGTATCTCAATTGTGATTCACTGCAATGCGTCATAGAGAATCTTATTCTTGGCTCGTCGTGGCTCATTGTTCACAGTCACCTACTTTCATTTGCCCAATTGTATCGTTTGCTTCGCGCAACACTCTATCCTACCCTATGGGTTCTATATTCGGTACGTTCGTACACAAATATACATATGTATAGTCATATGCCCATACGTATGTAAGTACGTGTTTTAAAGCAGGACATCTTACTCGAGCCCTTTCACGTGTTCGCGAGGCAGTTCAACCGTCACCTGATAAACAGGCGAACCTTTTTTCGAGAAAGTTATTCGCTGAAAGTGAACGTTATCATCGGTTCGATGAAAAGTTCTTGCTCATGATTGGCGGGATTTCGCCAGTTTACTGCTATTTCACCGCATCACGTACTATAAATAGGTTAAATAATCACGTGACGTTTGCATACCGACGTATGTACACGTGTAGTATTGTACAGAGTAACCATTTCCGAATATTAGTCTAAGAGGAGAGGAATTTATCGATGACTCAGGATAACATCGCGTACTCGAAAAATTCAAATTCTTCGCGATTTTATAGAGAGGCCAGAGAGAGGGAAAGCACAGAAGAAATCATCTTGAACCGACAAAAATGTCGGTGACCTTTCTAATTTCATCTCTGCTCTCTTCCGCGATGCTTTCGAAGCTTTTCCCTTTAAACGGTGATCGATTAATGGTCGATGACGTTCACCGCTCTTTTCGCCTTCTTCTTCTTATTAAAGTAACTGCAAAATTTCGTACCACAAAAGAGCGAGAAAACACTCTGATGTTCTTCTCTTGCAATCCACATAACCTTGCAAAATCCTCCTTCGGAAAATCCTGGAAAAAATGAAACGAAAAAATAGGCGTACCGTAGCCTGTTATTGTTGTTGTGATTGTAGGGAATACCTCCGTTATTTGTTCAACGGGGAAGCTTCTCGTGCCGTTTAGCTTTCGCTTTTACGATCGCCCTTTATACGAGCTTACGCTACTGGGTTCGCGGAAAAGAATCGGTAAAATAACGTGGACTAAGAGGAAGGTTGGAGTAGTATGAACTGAGATTACATGGACGAGAGAGGATGAGATACGCAACTTCAACACCAAAATGGCGGAGGTCTGGAGGGTTGGAGGCGGCACGTGTTTGACAGCCTAGCCCAGTGGCGTAATAATGAATTCTTCGTTTATTTTACGAGGCAACCCCGTATCAAGATACAGATAGAAGATAGGGAATAGCTACAAAGCTCGTCTACAATTCATACCCTTGGTACTATCAATTTTTATAACTGAAACTTGTACCACCCGGATAACAATACGACGGCTAGAATTTTCTTTGCTTTTACCGTTGTATCAACCGACGTTGTTAACGTTATCGAATAGAGGAAAATGAACGGATAATCGGAAATTATTCTGCGACTATAGTTTCACTTGCTCGATTAACTTGGTTGAATTTACAACATACGATACGATTGTTTAGAAAGCGTAAAAAATTTGGCGAACGACCGTTAGACCCTTTAATCTCTAATACCAACTAAATATTCTATTTCAACGTCAGGGTTAACGGGAAAATTCTTATCGCTGCTTCCTGAACTCTACGCCTCTGAAGCCCGACCACCCCCGCGTACCACCCCAAGTACACCCCTAATGACGTCATAGGACAGTGGCGCCAACAACTCTGCACTGACGTCAGCTCCGAACATTGGGCAACCAAGTTGCCTTTGCACTGTGAATTTCAAATTTTCACCCTTTTCCCTCACGCGAAAACACCGAATAATCTACGGCAGCACATTTTTCACAACTTTTTATCCCTTTGTCGTTGTTATCCCTTACTTTTACTTTTTCGTTAAAAAAGGAAACGGAGAATCGCCCGGAGTAGAGACCCTTATCGAGTCGGCGTGAAACCGTACCTCCGTCATCGATTTACCATGACGACAGCAATGACGGTTTCATTCGTCGTCATTCATCATACGAACGGCAATTGCAATTACCTACCGCTGGCCCCGTTGGTTAGACACGTTTAGCTTTTATATTAAACAATAACTCTTTAACTAACAATATTGCGACATCCTTCGTATCGATATATTTCACGTTGTTTTTTAACTAGCTACTTCGTTTTTCTCTACACATTACCTTGAAAAAATTTTTAACAGCTTCTTCCTTTTTCTTTTTTTCTCGCTTCAACTTGAGTAAACAATATTTCAACAAATCGTTAACGCTATGACGATGACGCAATTCTTAGTTCTCTGTGTGTGTGTGCTTCACGTACGGAAATCTATTCCCGAGTTAAGGTTCTGTTGGCGCCAAACAGTGTTGCGGTCGTCGTGAAATTCGGGGATTTTTGAGTCCTTGAAGATGGAAGAAATTTAATCGAGTTTCACAACCCCCTCTCCCCCGGTTTACTCTTACGTTAGCGTTAAACCATCCAGTCGATTCATTGTCAATGCCACGCACACAAGGGAGGGGTGTTATTTTGTGGAAGTAATTGGTTAAAAATGCTCGATTCTTGAACGACTTGAAAAAGACTCGAACCCGGACGAATATTCTCTCTCAAGTGTGAATAGAGAACGTCAGAAAATTTCTGTCGCTCCAGAAATATCTTTGCCGCCGTTATCTATCGTTTAAGACTACGCAACTGAACTGCTACTCAAACTTTCCACAAATACGCGCGATAAAAAATAAAAAGAAGAGGGGGGAGAATAAAAATGTGGTTTAAAAATTATTTTTTAGCTATTAGAAGCAAAACGAAGACGTCGAACGATCGAAGGAAGCTGGCTGGAAGCATTTCACGTTCATGTTTCTTAATTGAGAAATAATGTGCTCAACCTACGCTCGCAGCATCTCCGTTGTGTAGGTGGAGATTTACATACGTATACGTATACGTATCTATATAGATCTATGCGCACGTACTTGTGCTTACGTCGCATCCCGCTTTCTCGACGATTCGTTGTCAGTGATATACGCACCGTTCTCGCAAACGGACGGACAAACGAACGCGAATCCCTCTTTTTATTGTCGCGACGATGACGTCAATTCTCTCTAATCTCGGTGCTCATTTCCGAAAATTATGATAGTACCGGTAGGCCAACGTACCGCCGACGGACGTTTAGGACGATCATCGGTTTCCTGATTACGACCCTCCTGCCTTTTACAAACGATTTTGCCTTGTCACTTACGGCTTTTCATTTCGAAAATCAAACGACACGGCCAATCGTGCCTACAATCGTCTTCTACAGCCGAAGCTTGACAAAGGAAAGAGAAGAAAATACCATTTTATCCTACATTCGTAATTTACCACGAATCACACGTTCTTGGCGAACGATTGTTCTCAGGAAACGACGAACCGCTGATTAACGTTCAGAAACTACGTACATACGCCTATTTTGTTCATCGATGTTTTCATCATCGATTTCCTCGGTCTTGCTATTAACCACGATGTTACGTAACATTAACCAAGGTCAAGGTGCGCGATCGTTCTTCCTACTGAAAATAGTCTTAAAACTGGTACACCATTTTTCTTTCTTCCTTTTTTCTCTGTCAGATAGTTAGACGAAATTAACGGTGAACCTTAGATGGAGATAAAGATAGAACTGTATGGTTGACCCATATGAAGATACGCATTTAGTATAACGAGTTATCCAGAGGCGGTTGGCATACATATTTAACCTCATTTTTCCGTCAGAATCACAATGTTTAGAGCCTGTTTCGAGCTAGTCTATCTTTCGTTTGACCTACTTCGCATAATTAGGAATATGCGTAAAAATAACTTCATCACGCGAAAGTATCTCGAAGGAGATGCTCCCGTAAAACACGTTCCTTCTCCTCGCTTCGTTAACGTCGAACGTGAAAGGCGTAGTTGTAAACAATATGTTCGTGAACGATATTCAAATGTTAACATCATTTATTGGTGTAGAAGTGTAGACAAAATTACGTATTACATGAATATACATATAGTGCGTGCTACAGGCGTGAAAGTGCTTTGCTGAAGAGCAGAGCGAAAGAAAAGAAAGAAAAGATACCTTTCGGTACATTGCAGATCACTTTGTTTCGCGTAGCCGTTAGACTTCCGTTTCCAACACGACCGCTTGTGCAATTAATAATTTCTTTTATACGATACGTAAGACTCGGTAAAGTATTCTCTGATATATCGATTAAACGAAATGTTGGAACCTGACGTGTAACGAGATAAATTACACGAAATAAATATAACAACGTACAATCTGTTCGTCTGCCTGTTATCTTCTTCGAATTTCCCGAGGCACATCTTCGTTTGCTTGCGTTCAACGATACAATCTCTCCCGGTAGAAAAGAACGTACGAACGATTAATACGATGATCGAATACACGCGTAACAATAGAAAGTCCATTCACAGCGTTACTTTTAATACCATAGGTGGTTGCCCAAACTTATCTTGCCAAGAAATCCTATGCATGGGTGCGAGTTAATAAAAGATAGAGAGTAATGAATAATGAAAAGAGAAGAAGGATCGAAAGCAATTTAAACCGAACCACGTTCAACGACACTCATAATTGGCAAATGTTCATCCTTCTGCTATGCGCGCGACTTAATGAGGTGCAACGACAATAGTCTGGGACGCGACAATTATAGCATGTAACAGAATTTCTGTGAAGCTTTAGGCCTCTCCGTCGCCCCATTCGAAACTCTCTTCTCCGCCGGATGTCACTTGTTCAATTTGTGGCGATTCTTCGACAGCATTCGCGCCGCATTCCGGTTTGCTCTCCGCTCCTAGTGGTTCCTCCACGAAAGGATCCTCCGTCATGTCGTACTGCTCCTCCTCTTGTATCATTTCTTCCTCGATCTTTAATAACAAAGAGAAGAGAAGCAAGAAAGGTACGAGAAAAGATTTGACTCGGCGGGTGGGATCGTTGGATATCGGTGCTTACCCTCGTGTCGTCGTCTGTCACCGGATCGTACGGCCTTTCTTCTCTATCCTGATCGGTGAAATCGCAGGATATAACCGAACGATCGATGTCTTTCACCTCGTCTACATTTTCGAACGTAACGTTCGCTAGCCTCTCTTCTTTCAATTCTTTCTCACGATCCTTCTCCAGTTGTTCCTCGATGATCATTCGCTCCTGTTCTTGCAGCAACGCCGTTGTCTTAGCTTCTTCTAATTTCCTAAATGTAGAAAATCGACATGGCACCGTTGTAATATTACGCATCTGAAAGACATCCCGACGTATTGCCGGAGAAAATCGTAGGAGCCAGTGCAAGAAATTACCTTTCCTCCTCGAGTATTCTCTCCGTTTCCAATCGTTGAGCTTCGACTTTCGCCTCCTCGGCTTGCCTCTCGGCTTCGGCTTTTTCCTGTTCAAGTATCTCATCGATATGAGCTGCCCGTTCCTGCGCTGCCTCCAAAGCTTCCCACGCCTTCAACTCTTCCACTTCGAGCTTCACCCTTTCTTCCTCCGCAGCCTGTCTCCTCTCTTCGTCGCTCCTATTTTATCGAACGTTCGATTAAAATAGTTTTTTACCGCTCGATCGGTATTTCGGGATAACAATGCCCTAATAGTCCGATAAATGAATTAAGATGAATAGAGGTTAAAATTTTGGCGAGCGTATCGGCTAGAAGCCGATTATCAATGTTACGATGTTAATCGTTCCGCGCACGTATCGATAACTATGTCGATACTATTATTTTAAAGCGTCGACTTGTTACGTAACGTTTGATCGTTGGTAGGTGCCAACATTCATAGAGCTACGCACCTTGCCTCCTCGGCGGCCTTAATAAGGTACTGCTCTATTCTTTTCACCGACTCCTCTTTGTCGTGTTTCACTGAAATTCAAATTTCCAAGTTACTACCATTCGCCTCTACCGCTTGATCGAACTTTCTAATCTTAAATTGAATCAAGCTTCCCGTCCCGTGCAATACGATACGGTACAAGAAGTTTTTTCTAACATCGAGCAAGGGATCATACACGTTACGAAACACGTACATCATGCAACATCAGGCAGACTGGGTGACCATGACAATCATAACCATCCTTTTATACTTTGTACTCGCCGATTACCTCGATACGTCTATCCAATAATTATTATCGAATCAATTCCTATCTGAACGCCTCGTTCGAGGTATCTAACAACATACCATCTTTGTCCGTTGCCTCCTTTTTGTCTGTTCCCTCCGATTCACTTACAGCATCCGTAGCTTGAGGTTCTGCGCTTGCTTCCGGTGTAGGTTCTCGAACTGCTTCTGCCTGTGACCCTTGTACAGTTTCCGTAACTGGCTGCGGTTCTTTAACAGGTTCTGGCACATTTTCTGGCTCTAGCTTTACTTCCGGTTCTGACGGTTTCACAGCTTCTGTCGCGGGTTCTGGTTCGGGTTCTTTGACAGGTTCAGGTTCTTCAACGGGTTCTTTAACAGATTCAGGCTCGGGTTGTTTAACAGGTTCTGGTTCGGGTTCTTTAACAGGCTCTGGTTCTTTCACGGGCTTAGATTCTTTTACAGCTTTGGATTCTTTCACAGGTTTAGCCTTTTTCACAGGTTTAGATTCTTTCGGAAGTTCGGGTTCTTTCACGGGTTCAGGTTCTTCCGCGACTTCCGGTACCGGTTCAGGTTCCTTAACAGGCTCCGGTATAGGTTGAGCTTCTTTCACAGGTTCTGGAGCCTTAACAGCTTCTTCCTTTCGTTCCGTTTCCGCTTTTTCCCGTCTAGATCCACGCTTCTTTTCCGGCTTCGATTCCGCTTCCCTTTCTATTTTAACCACTACAAGATACACGGAACGGTAACAACGACACATTTTTCTACAACATAAACACTGCAAGTTTCAACAAGGATCGTACCTTTTACTGGCTTCGACTCGTCCAAATCAGGTTGCAACGCTCGCGCTAAAATTTGCGAACAGACGTGTAAAAAACGTGGACAAATACGATGTACCTAAAGAGTACGTAACCCGCACTAATTATATAAACGTGTATCGGAGAAATTTTACTGACCCTTGCGTAATTCTCTTTCTGTCATCGGAAGATCTGGCACTATGGGATACATGAAACATAAACATTCGGTTAACGACAAAGGATTCTCCTGGTGCTACGTGTCTCTGTCTGAAATAAACGTGACGTGTGCACACGAACTGCAGCTGTGGTTAAAAAACAAAAACACGTCAGCCAGAGGAAGAAATCGGGGAAAATTTGTATTAGGATAACAAAACACAATTTGTCAGAATACACGAAAAGTCTAAGATTAATGTTGAAACATACGATGGTGTGCGACCAATGTGAATTAGGATATTAGAAAACCTCGAACTGGAGAGTATCGCCGATGAAATTGTTCCGGAAACTCGGTAATATTCATTTGTTGCGACGATAAACGTCGCGCAGCCACGATTTGCGCAGGAAAAACGATGATTTTTTTTATTATTGTTCTCGTCTTGTTTCGACGTGTTTCCGATTATAGTCACGGTGATCAACAAATGATGGTCAATTGAAAAAAAAACCCACACACGATATAGATAATGTACTTAGCAACGTGTTTTTCACCGCTTCTGTTTCTTCGATGAAAATTGACGTTCGTTTGTGTTACGATTTTCGTTAGGATTATATTTTAGAGAATTCGTGCGAGGACCGTCGTTTTGCCCCACATTTCGATCCACGATTATCCGTTCCTGGCGTCGTCATCCGTTGCGATTGTTACTATTCAAATTTATATACTCTCTTTTCTCTCTTAACAGCCGAAAATCGTTCAATTTCACTTCAGAAACAAAATGTCAGCCGACCGAATTATTAGAAGAAATGTAAAGCACGTAACGAAGCTTACCTCGGTACAACGCACTCTCTCGCTCTAGACACAGCTCTTCTAACTTTCCAAATTTTCGTGCAAGGACAAAAATTGAACTTTTCTTTCAATCATCTGGCACGATTATTTTCATTTCTAAATTCTTTTTGCGTCACGGTGCCGAGGGGGGATGCGGGGTGGTGGACAGGTTTAACGATACTAAACGTAGATAATAATGCGAACATCCTGTTAGTATTTATCGTAACGTTACGAAGAATAAGCGTATATTTCGTCTCGGTGTGTTCAACAGTTTACTCGAATTCGCGTTATCGTCTGAAAATTTTCTCATTCTCTCAACGAGAGTCGCGGTAGGTATACGAACGATCTTACTCGTAACCGTTCGCTGTAATAAAGTTAGAATTGCATGTAGTATCATTTACGTAGAAATCAGTAACGAAGATTAAGTTTTAGTAAATTATCTAAGATTATCAGTCCTG